CTTTGAGGAAAAAATACAGCTGAAAGTACTTTTATTAACTGTGGCAGAGAGAAATGCAACTAGAAACAGAGGATTCATTACAGTCAGTTTACCAGAAAGCCTTATCCAAGTTTTCAAACCTCATTCACGTAGCATTCCTCACATTTTCTCTTCTCTTGAGAGGAAATATTGAAATGACAGTGACAGATAGAGGGATGTTAAAAGAAAAAAAAACAAATCTATTTAAGAATTTCAGAAAGTTAATCCAAATGCTGTAACTTTATTTTGCAAGGGCAATGATAAATATGTATTGTATTAAAAAGAGCCTCCTTGATAAACTAACACCAAAGAAAGTTATATAATTTTTTCTAACTGCTGCATAATATATCAGTTTGTACCATATTCACAGAGAGAATATCCTAAAAGAATATTCAGGTCATAAGTTAAGACAAAACAGTGCGCTATCAGTCCCCATCTTTTGATAATGGTGCTGTCTTTACTTGGAGTTGGGGTTTTTCTGGAACGCTGACAGGTGCATCATTTTCATATGAGTGGTTAAAGAACCAGGCTAGAAACTGGGAGATTATGAGTTCTAGTCCCACATTAGGCACAAAGCCAACTGGGTGGCCTTGGGCCAGTCACTCTCAATGAAGAGAGAAGCAAACAGCTTCCGAAATATTGCTAAGAAAACTGAGGGACTAGTTCAGGCAGTCCCTAGGAGTCAACACTGACTTGAAGGCACCAAAAAATCCCAAACAAATCCTCATTAAGGAAAAACAGAACAAGATTTTTTAAAAAAAATTGATTTATATGCCGCCCTTCTCCGGAGACTCAGGGCGGCTTACAATGCGTTAAGCAGGTGTGGGAGAGAGATTGCATCTCTCTCCCACACCTGAGTTGATGTAGTCCTGTTGGCTTTATTTTGCAGTATCAAAATGTTAGGTGTAAGCATTTGCAGAGGAAAATCAACACATCTGTTTTTTGGGGGGAGGGTTTACAAATGTTGGGTCAAATATAACCCTAACCCTAATCATAAAACTAACCTTAATCTTACTTTGGACTTTAGTCTCAGGTCAGATTTAACTCTACAAATTATTGTCATGGGATCAGAATCTGCCCATTAGGTGAACCAAGAACATTGGAACACTTTTCTCCCAAAAGACGTTTCAGAACTTTTATACAGATTAAGTAAGAGAAACATTTGCACCCTAGTTGCCACAGAGACAATGTTCAGAGTAAGACTAATCTCAGGAGAGTTAAGCTAGAAACCATAAGCGAAAGAGGGCTTTAGCAAAAGGTTGTTTGCAAAAGGTTGTGGAGAATCTCCAGAGCGAAGCCATTTGAGAGGAATAGATTTCAAGAGGATAAACTGTTTGTTCTTCTACACAATGGAAGCAATGTGGTCATGCTGGCAATGGAAAAAAAGGAAGGCAAAGGACAGATTGCCTACAGAAAGTACTTGCTTTTTCTTCCTACCCATCTCTCAGAGCAGAGAGATTGGAGAGAAAGAGATTTCAAGAGAGTACTGTACGTTTTTGCCTAGCATGTCCATTGCTCCTAGTCTCAGGCTGTTAGCACAATCACACTGCTTTCAATGTGTAGAAAGGCAACAGCTTAGTGTCTTGCAATTCTTCTCTCCAATATCTCTGTTCTGCAAGGAAAAAAAAGAAAAAAACTTAGATCAGACACAGGACGTATGTTGACTGAAGTGGTGATCCCATGACTAAGGGATGCAGCAAAAGTTGTAAATTGATGTAAAGGGCCTGTAATGTTATTTTTTTCAGCACCATCATAACTTTGAATAGTTACTGAACAAATAGTCAGGAAGCGGGGACTACCTGTAATCCTCATTTAGCGATCATTCATAGTTAAGATGGATAATGAAAAACTTTGCAATCAATCCTCACATTTAACAATTTCTGCAGATCTGGGAAGGAAAGGAAAGCTGAAGTAAGATCAGCACAGTTGCAGTTTTACTTAATAACCTCGCTTAACAACCAAGTTGCAGGTCCCGATTGTTAATGAAGTCTAGCAGTATTTTTGTTCTGAATGATTTAAAATTTCATAGCTATCTGTTAAATTTGCTTCATAGTTCTATTATACTAATGTTTAAATAAATATTGTACAGCATGTAATTTCTTTGATTTCATTGAGAACAGACAAGTTACATGTGGCTGTCAGAGACAATGTTCTGAAGCACCCAAAGAAAGGATGTAATACGCCCGGGCATTTCTTGTACTTCAACAAATACAAGACACGTCTAATAACATCTCTTCTCTAGCCCAGTACCCTTCATCACATCCAAATTGCTTTTTGGTTTTACAACCGTAGCTTAGAGTGTGTTTCCAGTCTCAGTAATATTGCACATTTTCTTTCAGGGAAAAAAAAACCCCATCAACTATGTGTCACTTGGCTTTTCAGAAACCAGATCATCTCTTGAACTCATCCTATATGGGATGAGGTTTCAAAAAAAACAGTTTTGTCTCTTTACAAAAAATGGAAATGGGTGGGGGAAGAGGGCCATATCCTTTAAAATCTCAAGAATCTTTAAACACATTTGCTCCTTTATAAAAACAACACTCCAGTAAAACCTTAGAGGTATTTATTGGTATGAGGTAGGTTTTTTGTTTTTTACGCTTGGTAAAGGAGCATCAGGTGCACTGGCCTCCAAAACCCCATCCTATTCTTTTTTGATGGGGGAGTTGAAACATTCACAGATATTTTTTTTTAATGAGGATATCCATTTTACAATGAGAAATGGTGAGATTTTATAGAAGTTACGGCTGGAGCTACTTTATAAACCAGAACATTATATTAACTGAAAAAGTTCCGTATGTTAACACTTTGCTCATGATTTCAAGTCATTTGCATCAAGAGACAACAGAGAAGAAAGCTACGTATAGGGAAACCTTGCTGCTTCTCCTGCATTCAACTGAGAATCAGTGTCATGAGTTCTGCTGACCGGAAGGACTAGGTAGACTGCCTTCTACCAAATTTCAGACTATTTCTCTTGAAACTGACAAGCTGATACATGTTGAAAAAGAAACATCCTGTTACGACCCAGGCCCAAGTAAGTAGTATTAGACGCAAACAGTTCCAAAACAAACAGACTTTATTAGAACAGCTGAGAATTAACTCATTCTCAGCGTAGTCCAAACTAAATTAAAACAAACTCTTCATAACACAAATTCTTCAATCTAATCACCAACCTTGGTATAATTAGGCAAACTGCCAAAGGCTTCTCTTGGCAAAAGTTCAGAAGCAGAAGACGCCGACAAGAGATAAATGCAGCAAGACAAGAACAAGTCTATCAACGTTGTTTTCCGACAAAGAGCCTAAGAGCCGTTGCTGGTCTTTTAAGCCTTATGGGAGGGGCCAATCATCTCTTGGCCCTACTCCCGAGTCGTCCTCTTTGCTTTAGCTGCTCTTGCCTTCTGGCAGCTCTTCTCATACGTGCACTAGGAACAGGTCCTCCTGTTCCTCTGCCTCCCTACTGTCAGCTTCTGGAGGCTCCGGAGTCCGCACATCACTCCCTGATGGCCCTGGCCCCATCTCTGTCTCCGACGCAGAGCCCTCATCCGGGCCTTCCCCAGCCTCCAGGACTGGCCCATGTTCTTCCTCAGCCTCATCGCTGTCCAAATCCGCTGCCAGCTCCATCCGCAGGGTGCTGGCGAACCACAACACATCCTGAGATTTGGCTGTGGAATCTCTTCCTCGGAATAAAGGGCCTGCACTCAAGAGATTATATTCCAGCTCCTCTCTGTTATAGGACTTGTGCTCGTATCCAGTTTGGCCTCCCTGGGAACATTCAAGGAATATATATATATATATGTTACATATATACATATATATATATATATGTTTTTCTTCTAGCCAGGTTTTCCCTACGTAGCCAAGGTTTTTTTGTAGCTCCAGCTCAGTAGAATCTCATCTACTCGGTTCTGGGCTTTTTTCTTTTCTAACCCCTAGCAAGCTCTCACTGCTAGGTGGGAGACCTAAATAGATCCATTTCTAGCTCGTTAGCTGTCATCAGTAGGCCACACCCATATCCTCCCTGTAAAGGCACAGTATCAATTTTCTTACTTCTTCGTAGGGTTTATGTATGTTTTTACATTATATAAGACTGCCATTCACATTATGTGTGAATGGCAGTCTTATATATACATACATACATACATACATACATATATATATATAAGACTGCCATTCATATGGCTTTCCAAAAGAATAGTGTTTGCTGTGTGGCCCAGGATACACTCTTTTCCTTCCTGTTTCTTGGTTTGGTGTTAAGATTTGAACTTGCATTCAGAATTCCCCTTTCCTGGTTTGTTAATAAGCATTTAGTGAGTTTCCCTGTTGGATATAAAGGGAATGGCGATATAATATCAGGTAGGGCAGTGTTGGTGAAACTTTTCAGCACAGAGTGCCAAAACGGGAACACATGGGGGAGCACCGGAAACTGGAAGAGCAGCTCCGTGGTGCGCACGCTAGGAACCTGGGCTTCCGGTTTCCGCATGTGTATGCACACCAGTCACCTGGTCTTCCAGTTTCTGGCATGCATGCGTGCACAAAAACCAGCTGGCCGGCACGCATGCGTGCACTGGAAACTGGAAGCTCAGATTCCTGGCACACATACACGCCAGGAGCTAACCTTCCAGTTTTCAGCGGTCCCGCCTGCATGAACACCAGATGGCATGTGCGTGCCAGAACCTGAAAGAACAACAGGCAACGGCTGGTGTGCCCAGAGAGATGGCTCTGTGTGCCACTTCCGGCATGCGTGCCATAGGTTTGCTATCACGGAGGGAGGGTCTTGGAAGTATCGGCCTGCCCAAGTAGATCAGATAAGAAATATGACCAGATGAGCTAATTCTAATTTATTGTAAAGCTACATTAACAGAATCTTGCATATCTGAAAGTACAAATCCCACCATCTCTTTTACAACCTGAGAAGCTAGAGAGCTCCTTTCTGTGTCTCCTTTTCCATCCTTTGTGGAGCTGTGGGCTATGCCATCTCTTATCTGATCCTTCCCTAGGCAGCATTTTTTTGCCCTGTCTCTCAAGAGCTTTCTCACTTTCCATTACAACATGCAACAAATGAAAGAGAAAGAAAAAGCAGGTGTCCAAACTGAACAGTTTATTAAGAACATTTTTAAAGCCCTACTTTTGAATCTATGCTCCCAAATATCACCACAAAATATCTCTACTCTTTCCAGTTGTTGCTTCATTTCCTTTTTCTAATTCTGTGTCTGTGATGTATTTTATCAAATAACATTTAGTTATGAAATTTCTGCTTACAGTGAATAAAATCTGTAATAGTACAGAAAATCTCCAGGCATATTTATTAAACTGGTAAACTTCTCAGCCAGAAAAAGGTGATTCTACAGAATTAACCTTCCATGTTTGTGACAAAATAAGCAAACGCATGAAACACAAACACATTCTGCTGGTGTTCTGCCAGAGTTAGCTTGCTTTCTCCTGACTACAGAAAACCAAAGCAAACAAGAACTCAAGCACAAATCTTTTCAGAGATTGAATTTTTACAATGATACATCAGACAACTTAACACATTTCTCTTAACATTCTTGTCAAGGAAAAAGCAAGCATTTCACTTTAGTTATCTGTCCAACGTTAACTCTGAAGGTTTCAAAGTGAAACAGGGATTGCTGGAATTAAATAGACCACTGATGTTTTCTTTTATGGGTATATAAAACTGGGTATGGGAGAGGAAAAAAATGTAATGTTCCAAAGGCTATAATTTTGGTTTCTCTTTAAGCTGTTCATAACAGAAAATGTACATGTACATTAGCCCTTTCAGGCAAGAAATGTAAAGTCAGTGGAGCTAAGGATAGCATGCTGTGTGTGTGTGTGTGTGTGTGTGCCTGCCATTAGCCAACAAACACATATGGATGTTGGATAATGATAGAGTTTTGTATCCTAGTGTTTTGCATTAAAGAAAATGTCATAATCTATAGATTCTGTTGTCGTTTCTCATCAGGCCACAATCTAAACAGACTGAATTGATTCTAAGAGGAACGGCAGTAATATTTATGTTGAGGTTATATGGATCTGTCAAATCCAGTGATTCATTTCGCTCCTGAACCATAATTTCCAGTTTTTCTTTATTAAAACAAAATCTCCACATGGCTCTAAAATTGTATTTCTGGAATAGGATTCAAATAGTTTAGAAAAAAAAACAACCCTGTATTTCCTCTTTGTGATTTTCAATTTCTTATATGAGATAAAGTAATGAAATTGCTTCTTGTGTATTCATTCATACAACTTATATATTTCCAAAACAGAGTAAGACCAAAAAAATGCAATCTGATGTTGTCATTATTATCCAATTTAACAGAATGACTCCTAGGAGTGACTTTTCCCCAACTATAGAAGACTATATTCTTTTCCAAACAGCCTTCCTATCTGAATCTTGCATTTATTGGAAAAGTTCCTCCCTCAAGCCAGCCATGGCCATTTCAACATTTTGTTATGCAAGCATATGGATACCTGTCCCCCTCCTTAAATGATGATATCCAAAGGGCTAAACGGAATAGAGAATTCTTATTTCTGCTTGAAACAGAAATCACACTGACCTCAGATAAAATATCCATAATGTATCTTTTATATTATGAACTCGGGGTTTTATTAAAGCCAGCAATTTATTACTGTAAATAACACAGCGATATTTGTACATTTTTTTTTGGTAGTTTGCAAAAGAATTTTCCAAAAGATTAGAAGAGATAAAGTGCTTTTTAAATAAATTGGCAAATGCACTCTTCCTTTACCATATGGTCCCGGTGCCAGAACTGGCTTGTAAAGAAAATAAAGTTAAGATGGCATTCTAGTAGGCCCTGTGAAGTTTGGGATCCCAACAAAATATGCCCAGAGTTATCTTGAGGTAAAATGGGTGGCAAAAAATAATGAATGAATGAATGAATGAATGAATGAATGAATGAATGAATGAATGAATAAATGAATAAATAATCCCCCCCACCCTCTCTCTCTGAATGAAATGGGGCAAACCTGAGACAGTCTTCTAACTTGTTTGCAAGGCTTGGGCTCTGGTAGAGGATAAAGTTCAAGTAAGAATGTACAAGCTGAATTAGCACCCATTTTAAGAATTATTGTCCCATCTCCTGTTTCCGCTTAAGTACAGTTTTAAGAAACCTTAAAGAGGCACAGGCTTCCTTTGCTCATTCAAGTCCACTGTCTTGATGCTGATTCTTTCTCCCAAATAGTATAGAAACCCTATCGGGTGATTGGATGGCTACATCCTCCAACTGAGTCAGGGTTGATGGCTTCCCTAAAATAGAGGAAATGAAGTTGAGCTTCTTCCCTGAAGAGGAATAAACTGAGGTTCATCATACTCTATCAGAGCTCTACTTGGGTCCCTGACTTTGAGATCCCCAGGGATTCAATAGCAAGTAGTAAGGTAAAGGTTTCACTTTTCCAGTTGTATCCAACTCTAGGGGGCGGTTTCCTAGCTGAGGTAGCCAGAATTGTCCGAAAACATTTCTATGGTCATCTGGCCACATGAGTATATGCCGAGGACAGAACGCTGTTACCTTCCCAACAAAGTGGTACTTATTTATCTACTCACATTTGCAAGCTTTTGAACTGCTAGGTAGGCAGGAGCTGGAGCAAGTAATGGAAGCTCACTCCATCACACAGTGTTTGGGTGTCAAACCTGGGCTGTCAGTTCTCCAGCTGAGAAGCTCAGCATCTTTATCATCATGCCCCCTTAGCAGTAACATACAAGTAGTATGTCAGCAAAACTGCCCTTGGGAGCTTTCCCTCAGTAGCAAGGATCACTACAGCATGTTATTAAATTGGATTAAATTGATAAGTAGAAATACTAGTTATGGCTAAAATGTGGCAGATAAGTCTCTCCAGTGAAAAAAATATGGCCACAAGCATGATGAACTCATTGGATTTTTGGGCTTCCTCCATTTACGAAGAAGATAGAACCGAAAGGAATTTCCCCAATACAATGAGTAATCAGAGCTTTGGAAATTTATCTTCCAAGAGCACATTCCAAGACAATGCTGTATGACTGATGGTGGCAAGCATCATTCAAAGGGCAGAGAATCACCCGACACGTCTTGCACAAAGGGGGGGGGGGGAAATGTAACATTTTCAGTAAGTTAAATAGGTGAATACAACACCATCTCCAATTTCATATATTATCTTCCATTTTGTGCATAAGAATGAATAAAAATGATTTATTCAGACCATAATTGGGTACTAAATGAAGAGAGCAAAGAAAGGCCAATGAAACATCTGCTATTATTAACTTTTCCATTTGGATAAAGATCTAGATTCCAAAGCTTATTCTTGCAATGTTAAAATACGATGTCAAATAATAAGACTTCTTTACCTGGAAGGAATTCATCCAGCGAAGAGAAGGAGGCAACGAAACATTACTCTGAGATAATATCAACAGAAGTTCCAAACAGGTTTTTGATGGAAATGTGAGCGGAGAGACTCCAATATCTTCTCTCCATGCATCAACAAGACTGGAATGAAACAAGAATTCTGTTACCTCTGAATGTAATATGCAGGGAATTTAAACTTTTAATAAGTGAAAAACAACAAATATTGCTTATAAGCAGGTTTAGCTGCACAGAAATAGAGCAATGGATATAATGCTCTCTTGTTAAAACCTTATTCAATTACTTAAGCGGTTGGCCTGTCATCGTAAATGCCTAATGAGATCATATTTATTTTTGGATTCCATTTATAGGAGCTTTGAGTCCTACTCTGGAGAAGGGCGGTATAGAAATTTAAATAATAAAATAAATAAATAAATAAATAATTAATAAATGCACTGAAGACTCTTAAGACATATCAGAAGATGCTACTACTGGCATCCTCAGTGCTGTTTTGGTTTCTGCCATGATCCTTGCTCCATCTGTTCTTTGATACAAAAATACAGAACCTAGCATTCTGCAAAGCCAGGCACATGCATGGGGTATCTTTTACACAATTATGGCAATATAATAATTATATGCTTGTAATACAAAAGAATGTTATTATCTCCAAGATAGCAATAGCACTTAAACTTATATACCGCTTTACAGCCCTCTCCAAGCAGTTTAGAGTCAGCCTATTGCCCCCAATGATCTGGGTCCCCATTTTACCGACCTCGGAAGGATGGAAGGCTGATTCAACCTGGAGTCTGGTGAGATTCAAACTGCCAAATTGCAGGCAGCTGGTAGTCAGTAAAATCAGCCTGCAGTACTGCATTCTAACCACTGCAACTCTTGAAAATCAACAAGTTATTTTATCAAGATGTGGCAAGATAGGCAGAGAAGAGTAGAATGAATTCAGTTCAAAAGCATAGATAGGGTTAAAAAACCTGCAATACTTCCAGGATTTGGGAAAGTTTTTTAAAAGCGAGTTAGGCCAGTTTTAGTTCATTTCCTGTGAGATAGCTTGGTTTGAGAGGAGGAGGAGGAGGAGGAGGAGGAGGAGGAGGAGGAGGAGGAGGAGACTTGTCCAGTTACCTAACTAATTTGAACTTGAATCTCTCTGGTGCCAACCCAAATCTTCATCATTATACTTTTCGCCTGACCAACAGATTTGATAAAATATGCTGTTGTTTTTGTTATTTTAACCACTGTATCTTAATTCTCGCCAGCTGACAGGGTAAAAAAGATGCTTGCTCTGATGGAGTACGCAATGAAAAACAGCCTCCAAGTATCTCTAAACTGCTTATGCCTCAGTCAGATCCTTGAGGTTTACATGAGTTTATATGCTGAACCATTTGATTAAAAATGTGTTTGTATTCACCATACTTGGGCAACCTATCCTGCACATAGAATCCCTGCAGAGTGATGCATGATGACAAATCTCACTTCTTTCAACAGCAGCTCATTATACAGCCTTCTGGAGCATGCACTGATGAATAGAGCCCCATTATGGTGGGATGTCAAGAGATTAAAAACCAAAACGTATCAACACTTCTGCCTCTGTTAAAAATAAGCTAAGGCTGACGTTATGAAATTCATCTCCCTTGGAGAAGTGGCTAGCCCAGAGGGGTTGCTAACAATAGTGCAATATTATGAAAGTTAATTACTACTACAAAAGAATGAGTATGCTTTCAAACTTCCCAGAAAAGAAATCCAAGCTGGTTAAACAAACAAGAATCCCCAGGTAAATGGAGGAAGATGGAGAAAATGCTGGACACAATGAAAGTTGCCCATTTATCTTGTTGGGGAAGTTGTAGGTATAAATTAAACTAGATTTTAGGAAAGCTTTTCCTGTGAAACAGTCCCTCCCACTCCCATGGGGTTCAGATTGCCCCAACCCAGTTGGCCAAAAAAACCCTAGTTCTTCCCTCTGGCTTCAAAGTCAGAATGCTACTGCAGTGCTACTGCACTATTCAACTGTTTTGATGAGTTGATTATTTTTATTGGTCACCTTTTGTTGGCTTTTTTTTTTTTTTTTGCTGTTTTTATATGTAGGTTTCTGTTTTTGTTTTGTTACTCACCCAGAGTTACTTGATTAAGATGGGGAGGGGAGGGAAGTTTGCAAAATAAATAAATTAAATAAATCACTGGGTCAAAATGACAATAGTGCTACCCTTGAATTTCTGAAGAAGATATAAAGGTGATATAAATTATAAAGATATAAGTTACATGAAGCTTTTCAAAGACAGAACCTAGAATAAAGGAGAAATTCCTTGTCAGTGATAACAATTCATCAGTGGAACAGCTTGCCTCCAGAAGTTGTGGGTGCTCCATCACTGGAAGTTTTTAATAAGAGATTGGACTGCCATTTGTCCAGAATGGTATAGGATCCCAGCTTGAGCAGAGGATTGGACTAGAAGACGTCCAAGGTGCCTTCCAACTCTTATTCTGCAATTCTATAATAAATATATACTGTAATTTTATAAAGATGTAAAATCCAGAACTGCTACAACACTTGGACTTCTTCTCAGGGTCATGAGTGGAATCAAATTTGATAGTCTTTTAATTGAGTTGGAAGCTAATTTTAGGTACCTGATTTGAGGATAGAGGAAATAAAAAGGTTTTCTGAACATTCAAAGTCAAAGAAAAAATTCTGAGGGATGTGAAAGATTACTCTCTATTTGGAGAAAATTGAACTGTGCCAATAGTAAGGGAAAGTTTTGAATTAGCTTCAATCATTCTAATGGGGCATTACCTTCAAGAAAATAGGAACAGCAGCAGGAGAAGGAAATGAGGACACAAGGAAACTACACTGAACACTGATTGATACAGACACATTATCTAAACTGAGCATGTGAAATAGAAAACTGGGACGGCGGAGTAGAATAGTGGGACAGAACAGAGACCTGGCCAATCCCAAGACTAAATAAGGAAGGACACAGAACCTGATTAAACCTAAGACCATTTATGGATGAGCAAAAAGTAACCTATGTGAATAGATATAATGGATGGAACAAACAACTTAATGCAAAGGCTTGCTTCGCAGTTATGATGTGATTTACAAATATTACTACATGAAAAGAAGATCACACCAGAATGAATACTGTGGTGAGATAATTCCACTCCAGACCAGCACTAGTATTTTAAAGAAAAACAGAATGGCCCAAAGGACATGAGTAATGACACCCAGCAATCAACAAACTGGTCATTCTGATGGATGAAGGTACTGGAAAGCCAGTGTCTGGAGATAACATTCCTAGATTAGAAATCATTGCAGGTCTCAACCTCTCCCTTCCAAACAGGAAATAAAATTGTAATAATGCTCAAATTTAAATTAAGTGAAAATTACTGGTCAGAATCTAATATAATGTTCTGCTTAATACTATAAAAAGAGAGAGGAAGAAGGGCTAATTAATTTAGCCCTTTTTCTCCAAGGATGGTCTTTAGCTTCTAATATTTTCTGACTGGCTTTCATTTTGACAGATGAAAAATATGATGTATGATTGGCCGTTTATTCTTTTTTTCATCTGCAGCAAAATGTAAATGGCTAGATCACCTTACATTGTCTGTAATTTTAATTATTTTCTAGTAGGAATGATTAGACAAGTGGTAAGTTTCAATTCTATTGATGCAACCTGCAACTGAACCATTGTTAGGTAAGCAAAATAACTCTTTTAAGATGTGTCTTGCTGGTTGGAATGATGGATGAATAAGAGTGAGTGGGGAGAGTTCACTTAAAAGTGAATGAGCCAAAGACCTACAGTATATAAATGTTGTGTGTTAGAATCTAAACAGATATTGGACATAATGTATTAACTTCAACCCTGAATCTGACCTGACTGAAGCCATTTTGATCACGTGCTTCCTACCGTAAGATTTATTAAAGTTCTGCTCCAATATCAGTGATGGCTTATTAACTCTGGTTTTTCAGTGTCATGGTCTAAGAACAGGAATGGTCTTGTCACTCATCCTTCCAGTGGTAATGGTGTTCACCATTGGAACAGGAGCAATATATGGAGATTGTAATTAGATTAAAATTGGTGAGTGAGATCAAGTAACATTTATTATTCTGATTTTACTTTCCTATCCTGACCCACTCTATCCTAATCAACACACAACCCCCCTAGAATAGCAGGATAATAGGACTCATTCCCAATAACCTCAATTTGGACATCACTTTGCTCATCCCATTAAGAAGGCATTATAATCAACTGTAGAAGGGATGGGGTGGCTCAGTGGTTAAGACGCTGAACTTGTCGATCAAAAGGTCTGCAGTTCAGCGGTTCAAATCCCTAGGGCCACGTAATGAGGTGAGCTCCTGTTACTTGTCCCAGCTTCTGCCAACCTAGCAGTTTGAAAGCATGTAAAAAATGCAAGAAAAATAGGGACCACCTTTGGTGGGAAGGTAACAGCATTCCGTGCACCTTTGGCATTTAATCATGCCGGCCACATGACCACGGAGACGTCTTTGGACAGTGCTAGCTCTTTGGCTTTGAAACGGAGATGAGTATTGCCCCCTAGAGTCGGGAACGACTAGAACAGAGATGGCGAACCTTTTCAGCACTGAGTGCCCAAACCAGAATGTGTGTGCATGCATGTGTGCATGCCGGAGCGCTGGAACAGCCTGGAAAATGGCCTGTTTTGTGGCCGTTTTTCGGGCCATTTTTCAGGCCATTTTCTGGGCTGTTTTCCGGCCATTTCTTGAGGCAGTTTCAGGCTGGTTTTCTGGGCTGTTTTCAGGACCATTTTCAGGCGCTCCAGCGCCCATGAAAACCAGCTGGCCAGCGCACATGTGTGTGCCGGAAACCAGAAGAGATGGCAATGGCGCATGTGCCCACAGAGAGGGCTCTGCATGCCACTTCTGGCACACATGCCATAGGTTCGCCATCACGGGACTAGAACATATGTGCTAGGGGAACCTTTACCTTTACCTATAATCAACTGTTGATTTCTCTGGACACTTGTGCTGGAATTGGTGGTCTTTTTATTAAGTTTCAAACTATTCAATAAACTTATGTAATTGTTGAAATACATTGTATTGCCTGCTACAGTTACTATGTCCATCAGAGAGAGAGAGACAAATCCCAACCTGGTTTAGGATGATC